ATCAGAGCCTCAGTCTTGAGTTCACCTTCCAATTAGCTCCGCTGGTGCTGCCTGAGTTGAATCATTAAGAAGCCGGAATACTGTACTGTTTCTGTTTTAACATTACTAAAATGAGATCGCCACCATCCAGACTTCTTCCTGGTAGCTCAGGATATATAACATAATTTCAACCCTAAAAAAAATGTGTCAAGGTCCAGGCAGAATTAGTCCCCGGTGCATTTCAAGGTCATAGTTACAAACCTGGGAAGTTCCAGTTGTGTGTCCCTGTGTACCTATCATTTGTTAAAGTACGGTAACATAAACAGATTGGGTCTGGTAGGCAGTTTTGTGGTGCACTGCTGAAAATGCATTTCCTAGTAGGCAAATGTTTGAAATTGCCTGTTGCAGCTCCCAATAAACTGAGCAAAGCCTTCCTGCTGAGTAAATGATAACTTGCGCAAGTAAAAGAGATCATTAGCTTCTCGCTGTGACCACTTGGGTCCAACAGGAAGTACTCCAGAGTGGCAAAGAACAACAATGTTTATTTGTATTAGAATTCACCACAAGTTGCTTCAGTGAATGAAGCTACATAGTCCGACTGGCAGGGCTGTTGGTTAAGTCAAAACAAAACGCTATTGCTTCTGATGGTTCAGTGAGTTCATTTGGAGAGTAGTTGAGCCATACAGACCAGAATGTTCCCAGTTTCTGTGCTGAGTGCGCTGATCTCATTTGTAATTGGCTTCATCACCCCCTGTGGTAGAGTTTCACTCTCCTAAATTCTAAACAGCGACAGCTGGGTGAAGAAAGCATTGGGCTCAGCTGTAAGAATCCCCCTGTGGTCAAGCAGCCGACACCAACAGTGGAGGCTGACACATGAACTGATGGCCACATGACCAACGTGCCAGAGGGTGCTCATGGAACTTTAAAGAAATTGCTTCAAAAAAGATCGTCTTTTAATTTATTTCAAAATAAAAGAATGCATCAAAAGCTTTTTCCTAGAAGGGACGTTTAAGATTAAACTGCTGACTTATCTTGCTAAGATTTTCATCACTTCATCTGTAAAAATGGAAAAGCGCAATAAGGGTCGATGGGGTATAAACCATCTTAGAATGGAAAATGAAAGGTCAAATTCCCTATAAAGACCTTTATCCACAAGTTTGGATAAAGATAAAGAAGGCTCTTCGTCCCATTTGATCTCATCTCTACAGAATACCCATCCTACTGCCCTTCCAACTTCAACCTTCCTTCCTGGTAAAGTTGTTAATTACCCTCTGTGTAAATAAAAACTCACTGGTATCTACTGTAATTGCCTTTTGCAACTCTAAACCTCTATCGTTTTGTTCTTTTATCTGGAATTTTCAAGCCTTTTGATAGCCTGAAGCAACGATTGGCTTAAACGTTTCTTGTAACCCACTTATTCTTTTGACAACCTTACTTGAATAAAATTAGACTGAAAGGCAAATCAATAGTAATACACAGGATCTATGAATCTCAACTCCACTCCTATTTAGAAACTTCCTCATCTACCAAGACTATTCCAGGTTGTGATCAATTTCTCATTGATCTTCCTGAAACTGCCCACAGAGTATCACAGATAGTTGAATCCTGATGAATATAAAATCAGTTTGCCAAGAAATTTTATGCTTGGATTGAAAAATTCCTTTTACGAAACGTTATATACCACATTCCATTTATTGTTTTTTCTGGCAAACCAATCTACCCCAGATTAGCTGAGATCATTGGCAAATGGGTTTTACAAACCATAACTGGATGTTTAAAATGTTTTGGTGATTGTAGACGAGATTTGTGGGGGGCAAGTTTTCATAGTGCAAATTCAAAAGCAGACGGCCGGGTTCCATGGGGTGAAAAATACAAGATGTGATGATTATCACTAGTAATAATAATCATATTGTCAAAAATTCTGCTCATACTAAATGTTGACTGTCTGTGGGTGTTAACTATCCCCCCATCTGTGCAACTTTGGCACAGTGGTTGGGCCTAAATCTACCATTGCAATTGTCACAAGAGGACCAATGGGCTTGAGTACCTATTCCCTGAATGAGATCATTCAGAGTTTCTTTTCATAGAATCATCTGTACATTTTATTCTTTTATATCTGCCTGTTTTATTGTTTAGGTGGACTTGTTGTCCTGGCCAACAACTCCCCCATATAAAACTAGTCATTCACTTTGTGACTGGTATGGGATATTCTGTTATGCACAACATTGGCTGCCATGTTGGCTTACAAAAATACTGAGATTTCTTCAACACTGTGAATACTGCGAAGCACTTTGGGATATCTTCCCGACATGTATCAAATGTAAGGATTATAATCATGATAATTATTATTATTCTGAGAGAAAAACAATCGAAGCATTGACTTTATTGAAAATATATTTTGGGTGTTTTTTTTCCCTCGTCTCACTAGGGAATAGTTCCTCAGACCCTGGAAGCCTTTCTGCATCTCTTCATGTATAAACCCTTGATGGCAAGTGCCAGGTTGCTTTTTGACCATAAGGGACATCACAGCGGAGCTTGATTCTGTCCTCACCCAACATTCACACACATTGCACTTTCCAACATGGGGTCACTTGATGGTAATCAGTAGGAAGAACCGTGACTGTTTTTTTAACCCCTGCTTAGTCCAGGGGTCACTGAGGCCAATTGCAGAGCACTAACTGCTGCTGAGGCTGTGATTAGCTAACTGTGTACAAACCAGGCGGGCGGGAGGTGTACTGTAGCTAATGCTGTTTTTCAAGCTAATATAATGTTTCTGTGTGTAATTGAGCTATCACACTTTGGCAGTGTTTACAAGCCAAACTAGCATGATTCCTGCAATCCTGGTCCCAAACTCCATGAGGTTTAAAAACAAGCTTGGAAAAATTTACTGTATCTTTCAATTGATTTGTTTTGTTGTATAAATTACAAATCGAAAGACAAATTTGTTGAATTGTGATAGTTTCATTTACAGTCCACTCACACAGCACTATGTGTGTGAGCGTGCATATATTTACAAGAGAGTATGCGTGTTTGTGTGCACGGCACTTAGAGTTTGTGTGTGGCATTGAGAATTTGTGTATGGTGGCAGGGGGGGGAGGCGTAATTCTGGCAGCTACAAAGTAAAAGCATGAGAATTGAGTTGAATTTCTGTATTGCAAGGCACAAGTTGCTGCCTGAACAATCTCCCCGTTAGCAGAGTCCAGCTGCTCGTAATGCATGAATGACATAGCTTCTAAACAGTTGAAACCACTTCAGTTTGTAAATCGCACTCTTTAAACTCTTAATGAATAATGGAGTAAAATATGCTGCATTTCTTAACCAATTCCTTATACTAATTAACACAAGGAATCGGTTAAAGAAAAATACTGCCAAGCTTTACCACAATGTTACAGACATGACTGTGACATGTTTGCAGTGCCCTGTCATTCTAGTTGACAGCTTAGGTTATTTTAAAATATTATTGTAAGTGTTCAAAGCTACCCACCAGCTGGACGGCAATGTCTCTTTAAATATGGATTGATACCAGCATGGAAACACGTTATTTCATGCTGTAGAAAGCTGTAAGCCAATGGTGCAGTTTGTAGCACTCTCGCCTCTGAGTCAGAAAGTTGTGGATTCAAGCCCCACGTCACGACTTGGAGCTCGTATAGTTAAGGTGACTCAATAATTCAGTGGTGTGGGGGTATTGTAGTGTCGGAGGTGCTGTCCTTTGGATGAGACCTTATACCAAGATCCATCTGCCTGTTCAAGTAACTGTTAAAGATCCCATGGCACTATTTGAAAAGAGGAAGTAGTTTCTCCAAGTGTACGGGCCAACTATCCTCCAAATAAAATTAGTCCTTCACTTTAGAAGGCTGTAAGTGGGAGATTGCTATGTTCAAATTGGCTGTAGTATTCGCCAACAAAACACATAGTCACTACAATTTGCAGTGTATTTTGTGAAGCGCTATGGGATGTCCTCCAGAAGTGAAAGTTGCAATAACAAATGTAAGAATTATTATTATTATGATTTTTAAGTCGGTAGATCAGAGCACTGTATTCAGCTGACAGACGTCTGGAGCTCAAATGAAGTAACAGCTATGATATTTAGGCAGGTCTTGGAATCTCAGCTACTTGCAGTCCCTCTTGACTTGTTTATTTCTGAAGTTGCCTTTCCTATCAGCAGGGGTTTATTTTAGATGCTGGCTACTTTGTGTAAGATTCCTTGCGTGGGCGGGGGAAAAGGGTAATGTGATATAACCGTCACCCCAAGCTTTCACAGACAGTGAGCAACCGAATGCTTGTGGGCAAACAGTCACGCCAGAGGGGCAGTGCAGCAAAGCACATTCCTGCCTTACCCCCCATTCCTTTGCCTTCAACCTGGAGGCTTCAATCATGTCAGAGGTCGCTGATGTTGTCCATCGTTTCCTGTCACTTGGCTGCACAGATGCTGGCACGTTGCAGCAGAATGCTCCCAGTGTCTCGGGAGAGGCTGCTGTTCACTCAGCAGTTTAGTTCGAGACTGCTCAGTTGATGGAAACCTGAGCATAGCACTGTTATTAATGAATTATGACAAGCCTTGTGCTTGGCAGGGCAGAAAGGTTTCATCTCTCTTTTTAGGACACAACTTAATGGAAGACAGTCAGAATGGCAGAAGCTCCGATGATACTCCTTTAAGTGCTCACTATTCAAAGAAACGTACTCCGAGAGCCAAGAAGCTGCAAGTGGCAGTGTTTAAAACCATTATAATGGCTGAACAATTTCCCGGGGAATGATTTCTTCCCAGATGCTGTTGTTTGTTTACTTCTCACCTTGGTCTCTGCCTTCCTGTTGAAATGCTGACCCAGCTCATGTGTGGTACAAGTGTAGGAAATGGGTTGATCATTCCAGTCATCTACAGGTTCATTAGNAAAAAAAGGATTTGTGTTGTGCTTGACACCAGGCAGTGGGGATTAAACCTGAGTGCTTCTCAATAGCAGCCTGGGGGCAAAAGGGAATAAATGAACAACGAACTCTGCCCAAACCAGAGGCGAACTTACCTTGTATTTTTCTCCATGGACATTAGTGGTGACAAAGCAATGGACTGTCAGCATGGTGAGTTGCGGAGAAATGTTCTCAGTTGCTTTAAGCTGCTCTTCCCCACTGTACATCTCACACCAGCCGTGTAGTTCTGCTTTATTGACGCTGGAAATTGCTTGTCATTTTAATGTCAGCGTGTTACCACCAATTTCATGCTGTATAGATTCTTAACTTTGGCATTTATTTAAGTTTCATTATATTTTTCCGCCTGTCAATTTTGTGCATCTTGATCTATTTTAATTATAAACAGATATTTTTGTCTTTTTTATTTGCGCTGGTTAAGTTGAAAGAAAAAGTGAACACTGGCACGGTTAGCATGGAGAATCATGTCAGCAGTGATGGGGCGGGCGGTAATTATTTGATAGGTGTGGTTAATTGTGTGTCCATCTGTCTGAATGCACCTTAAGGTTTGACAGTTCAATGCAATGGATAATTTCAGTTTAACCATTCTGAGACAGCAGTTGATCGGTGGGTAACAAATGTAAGGGTTATTATTAAATAGCTGTGGTCACTTCAAGCATTTGCAGTTCAGAAAAAAGCTTTAAGACGGCATACTGCACTGATTTTCCAATTTTAAATAGGAGCAGCTTGTGGATTTTTTTGCTGAATAGAGTATTGTAAAAGAGAATCCAGAACGCATATGGAGACGGGGATATTTCTTCATTTGCCGTCTTCTCCAAAATGACCTGAACAAAATAAAAAGATTAATTGTGCTCAGCTCTTTTGACCATACTTTAAAGTGCCCTTTGTGGGTTAATTATTATTCGAAGGTATTCTGACCAAGAATCTAAATTAAGAATGGGCGGTGGAGGGGTTGTCTAGTTTTGAGAACGGGTTCACTTTATCTGTTAATGATAGCAAGACTGGAGGATTTAACCCTTTCACAGTGGGTGACAGAAGAAAGCAACTCTGCAATTGGTGTGTTCCATAAACATCTGTGCATTGAAACCTAGATTGTTATTTACGAAGACTGGATTTTTAAAGAAAACTACTTTACTGAGATTACATCCTCGTTGCAGGCTGTTTTGATTCAAAATCAGTTGTGTCTTTAGGTAAGTAGCCTCTGTCCTTTCACCAGGAGAACTCACCGTAACCCAACCACTTATTTTTCCAAAAAACTGATGCTGGGAACTATTTATGGCCTTCATAAAAGGTCACTTTGAGGAATCAAATGAAAAGGAACAGAGTGAATGAGAAAGTTGGATGGTACAGTGATCGATTAGCTCAGTGTCTATCTAACTGGCTGTAAGATATGACCAAGTGTGAATAACAGTGACACTGGTAGGTGTGTGAAATAAGGATGTATTTGTGTTGCGGAAAATTGTGCGGTTTATTTTATTATTAATATACTAAATCGAGAGCAAAAATAATGAGCAGTTCATTGGTGTTTTTCAACTTGGAGAATTGCATTATTCAGAAGCTTTCAAAGTGTTCCAAAGTTATTTTGATGTTAAACCTGAAACTTGAAAAAGGCCAGTGAGTTTTTTTTTAACGAATGTAAAATTCCTCTCCCTGTGTACTTTGGAATACAAGCGGTTAACAAAAGCTGGCGACTGTTGTTATGATGGGTTGGCTTGGAGTCGGCCTGTTTGTTGGTGACTGTCATCCTTCAGACAGGGTCTGTTGCAAGCTCTGTTATCAGGAAGCAAACAACACTGAAACTGGACGTGTGTATGTGATCCCGGACTGGCACCCATAAGATTTATTTGGTTGCAGCCTGTAAATGTAACCGGTTTTCGCAGGTCAATTTGGCTCAGCCGTAGCTCTGAAACAGGGCTTGAGCACATCACTTAGCTGACACACAAGTGCAGTGAGGGTGTGAAACAATGTTAAAGGTGCCATCCTTAGTAAGAGTCATCAATTTGAGGTTGCCCCTGATATTCTGGTGGTTGATGCGGCTGGTAAAGATTCCACAGCACTCTTTTGGGTGTTCTCCAGAATTCATGACCAATAATAATGATAGTAATCCTTGAATTTGATACAGTATCTTATCATGTCGATAAGACGTCTCAAAGTGCTTTACAGAATATACTGTAAAGTGAATTGACTGTATATTTGTGGGCGAAACGCGGCAGTCAATTGCGCTCAGCAGTGTCCCACAAACAGTCGTGGATTGAGGTGACCTAATTATTTTTTGTCTTGTGTTGCTCCCTCACACAAATTTGCCTCAAAATTGTAATTGGTCATTTACCTAATCACTGTTTGCAGGGTGTTGTGAGTGCAACATTGTTGTTGGGTTTCCCTAACTAACTTCAGTCAGTGAACTTCAAAGGTACAAAGGGCTAGAAGACGTTTTGACATTATTACATATGGTAACAAGTACATATATTTCTACATATGTTTGCCTATAAAATATCCAGTGATTCCACTTTACAATGTATCCTGTGAAGTGTTTTATGATGTCCACTTGACGTGAAAGCACTGTATTAAATGTAAGTATTATTATTACAAAAACTTGCAATTATATAGCACTATTTAAGACAGGTCCATCCTGGAACATTTATATTTTTTATACAACATAAAACTACATAATATATATATTTTTTTTAGCTTGTCCCAAATCGACCTTACATATGAATGGAAGCATTTTAGCTGTTATGAATGTAGAGTTTGAATACTTCAGTAGCTACAGAATGTTTGAAATCAATTACTTAGGTTAAATGCAATGCCTAGCAGCAGTCCTGAAGCCAAGATAGACAGGGAGTTGTGTGTTGCGATTTAGCAGAATTCTGAATCCGTGTTTCTAATTCACTCAAAACATTGTACAGGAAAGCGAGTTGCAACAATCTTGTCTTAAGTATTTCAGCCCCTGAGGCTGCAGGGCTTGCTCTGACAAAAGACTATTTCTAGTAAGATTGTTTTTTTTGGAGTAGCTTTTAAACAACTCTGTTCTGTTGGAAAAGTTTGAAATTCAACTGGCGCACTTCAAGCAACTTGGATAGAGTCATTTTGATCTACGCAACCCAGCCTGATTGGAAATGATGGCAATCTCGGGCTTCTGAACCAAGTGTCGCTCTCTGTGGCTGAAGGAAATTGAGTTGTGAGATAGGCTTTGATGGTGTGAGTTGATTGTGTTGTTGCACAAGTGAAGAGGTTTAATTTGGAACTTCATTTCCACCTGCTCTTCAAGCAATCCAAGTCGCCATCCAGCATGAAGGGTGCTGCGTAAATGCAAGTTGTTGTTGTTGTTGCTCTTAGTCAATACAAGAGTGCAGTAGGTTCAGGGTCTCCTGTACTGGCTGACTGTTGGTTAGTATGTGTCAGTCTGGTTTAGTTGGTTGTATTCTCACCTCCGAGTTAAAAGGTTATCGGTTCAAGTACCACATTGGGACTTTAAACTTATATAGACGATGCTGACACTCCAATGCAGTGTTGGGGAATGCACTGCATTGTTGGAGGTGCTGTCCTTCGGGTGAGAAGTTAAACCGTAGTTTCAGGTCATTAAAGATCCCATGGCATAATTTGTAAAGAGAAGAGTTTCTCCTGGTGTCCTGCCCAAAAAGCCCCAGTGGTTTAGTAAATTGGTCACTTACTGCACGGCTGTTTGTGGGACGTTGCTGTGTGCAAATTGGCTGCCACATTCATCTTCAAAACACAAATCCTGTGAAGCGCTTTGAGATGTCCTCTCAACATGAAAGGCGTTATATCAACTGTAAGTTTTTTTTGTATTAATATGCAACGTCTATTCAATAGTTTGCTCATTAAAAGCTTCGGACCAGCATCGCCGATTACCCTATACCCTCGGCACAGAGAAGCGTGTGCTCAATTTATACCACTTTAAAAATGTTAATCCCTTTATTGGGAATGCTGAATGATCTTTTGAATATTATCGAGCACGTAACCCTTCGGACCTCAACAAAGAAAAATCTTCAATTGTGTAAATTCTTTTCACCTCAGGGTAAAAATTATGTGCATCCTCCAATAATGCAAACACAGGTCATCTTCAGTTTATAATATATTATTTGGAAGAATTCCAAGTATCAATGTGTGGAATTAAAGGGATTACGATAGAGTCCTGAAATCTCACAAGAGTGCCAGGGTCTAAATTTCAGTGTCTTGAAGCCAGCTGTAGTACAACCAATTGAAGAACTTGTAAAATCTTGGCTCACAGATCGAATAGCCTTTCTGCTATCCGCTAAAGAGCTTTTCTTAAAGGGACCTGGCTGTAAAGCGAAGGCATTTAATATTTTTTTTTTGGCATTGCGTGCATGAAGAATGTCATCATGGCACCTTGTGTACTTTGCTTTAATAATAATATTTTTTGCATTTTGATTTAATGCCTTATCACATTGTCAAGCCATCTCAAAGCTCTCTCAAAGGATTTACTGCAAAATGTAATGACTGTATTTTGTAGGTGAATGCGGCAGACAATTTGCACACAGTAATATCCCACAAACAGCCATGGAGTGAATGAGGAATTTTAATCTGGAGGTTTGTCGACCAGAACACTGTCAAAAACTCTCTTTAACAGTGCCATGCGATCTTTAATGTCCAGCTTGGATGAGTTTAACATCTCATCCAAAGGACGGCATCACTGACAATGCAGCGTTCCTCCAGTGCTGTATTATATCAGCCTGGACCTCGAGTTCAATGTCCTGAAGTAAGACTTGAACCTCATCCTTCTGACCCTGAGGCAAGAGTTCTTTATGCCCTTTGAAACTACAAATATAACTGAAGATGTTTATATGACTAAACCACTAGGGAATAGCTTCTGCTGCAGAGGATTGTTTACCAAAAAACTTCCTACCTTTGTACATATGTGGAAAACTGTTCCAGAAGCTGAGCCGGGTTGCACAACTCCCCACATGATAACCATGCCTCTGCCCCTTTAAAATAATTACCTTGTCTATTGAAGGTCAAGTGATTAACCGTACTAAATGCTGAAAGAGTCTCACATTTGAATCAGAAGGCTTTGAGTTCAAATCCCACATTAGGACTTTGAACTTTTATAGACAACGCTGACAATTCAATGCAGTGCTACAGAAACCCCACATTCTCGGAGGTGCCATGAGAGACGTTAAATGTTCTGCCTGTTCAGATGACCGTTAAAGATCCCATGGCACGATTGAAACAGAGAAGGGAATTAGTCACAGTGTTCTGACCAACAATCCCTCAAATAAAATCGTTTTTTCACTTCATGGCTGTTTGTGGGTCATTGCTGTGTGCAAATAGGCTGCCATATTCGCCTACAACCTTACATAATACAATCACTCCACTTTACAGTAAACCCTGTGAGGCATTTGTTTGATTGCTCCAATTCTACACACTAATTGTGGATAAGTAATAACAGCATGGGTTATAATAATAATAATAATAATCCTTGCATTTGATATAGCACTTTTCACGTCTTCTAGACGTTACACAGGAATGCTAGAAATGCGAACAAATTTTAATTAAACCGCAGTCAATAATATTAGCTATGACTTGAAGTGCTAAAAAAAATTTGCAAAAGGAAATATTTTTACCCGTGCTATGAGACATCCTTCCAACATCCCTTTAGCTCGGTGGTTAGAGCACTCGCCTTGCAAGCGAGACACCTGGGTTCGATTCCAGGCAGGGCAAAACCTTAGGCAAGTTTCTTTACTCCACACGCCTAATAATAATCCCTTCAAAAAAACAAAAACAATAATAAATTGGTCATTTTCAATCCACGACTGTTTGTAGGACACTGCTGTGCGCAATTATCTGCCGTGTTTCACCCACACATATACAGTCAAATTCACTTTACAGCATATTCTGTGAAGCGCTTTGAGACATCTAGAAGATGTGAAAAGCGCTATATCAAATGCAAAGATTATTATTATTAACATGAATGGCAGTATATCAATTGCAAGGATTATTTTTAATTCTGAGCTGCATAGATTACAGCGAGTTCATTTCATGGCTGTTTGTGCCGTTGCTGTGTGCAAATTGATTGCCGTGTTTGCCTTTAAAAAGACACAGGCACACCACTTTACAATAAACATATCCTGCGAAGCTCTTTGAAACGTCTTGACAACATGATAAGGCACTAACTATATCATGTGCAAATGCATGGATTATTATAATTAAGAAAAATCCCTTGAATCTATACATACGTACATGAAGATCAGAACATGAGTCTCTCCAGCAACTAAAACACAGGGTGGTCAGGCAGCAATGACCTCTGAAGATCCCACTTGTGTGTATTTCCCCATTTCTGCTTCAGGTAACTTAGCATTTGAAAAGCGGGGAGGTCCAAAAAATAGTAACAGAGACACTGCTGTGTTACTTACATCAAAATATTTGTCTATTAGTTTATAGCGCAGTTAGCGTGAAGACTGAGACAGTTTTCTTTCCCCTTGCATTCGTTTTTGGTTTGCACACATTACTGTGAACTGATGCCAGAAATAATTGCTTTTTTCTAAACCAACACACTTATTGTTATTTTCCTCAACCGTTTAGTTTCACAGTTGAATGAAAGGCTGTTTCAGGAATTAATAAAATGCAAATTAATTAAAACGGAGTGGCTTTTTATCTCTCGGCCCTTTTGTCTGTTACAACAGGGTTGAATTCCATCTGGAATGAAGTAATTATTATACCTTGGGACAGTATTTGGGAAACAAAAGTAAACCATCCTTGTTTGATTGCTATAATTCTGTACAGAATTGTAATTGTTGTTAAGAAACGACAACCTGAGTTATACAGAACTGCTGAAAATTCTAACAAATTGGAAAGATTTCTATTAAAACTGCAGTCAATGATTATAATATAAAGTACGAAAAGAAAGGATTTTTTTCAGGGAAATACTTTCAACAATACTATAAAATATTTAGTTTTTTCACATAATAATAATCCTTGCATTTGATGTGCCATTCATGTCAGGAGAATATCTCAAAACATTGCATAGGACTTACTGTAAGGTGTAGGGACTGTGTATTTTGTAAGCGAAATACGGCAACCAATTTGGCTCAGGAATGTCTCATAACAGCCATGCAGGGAATCACCAATTTGTATCGGGGGGGGGGGGGGGGGGGGGTGATTTTTGGCCAGGACACCAGGAAAAATCCCTTTTGCTTTTTGAACAGTGCTATAAGATCTTTGAAACATACACCTGTGATGGTCATGTCAGAGCCACATTTGTTTTTAATTCTGTCTCTTCCCCCGCTCCGCAAGAGTTAAAAGTAATTTCCGTAGTATTCAGTCAGTATTCTCAGCCGCTTCTCACTGCTCCAGGTTGAGCTGTGAACAACATCACATACGTGGCAGATCGGTGGCAGCTTAGCATCACAGAATGAGGTGAAACAATAATTAGTCACAGGGGTAATTATTTCCAACTCCGAATTATTAATTAACAAAACAAATGTTGTTGGAAAGCATTTTAGCATGTCAAAAAAAAATCTGTATTGAGCCCTTAACCTCGTAGAAATGTAGAACCTAGTTTGCTGTTGTTTTGGGAAAAGTGGCAGATGGAGATAGGATAAAGCTAAGCAAATATTATTATTATTAGTTATCATTTTTTTCTCCAGAATTAAAAGCAAGTAACTGATCATTTTTACTTTTAATTTTACACACTCTTATTGCTACAGATGTTGTCCTTTTTATTTTGCTAGCTATCAATGCTTTTTTACTTTATATTGTACATGCCGTCAGTGCTATTTTACTTTATATTTTACATACTATCTTTCTTATTTTACTTTACATTTTACATACTAATGTTTCTATTTTACTTTATATTTTAGGTGCTCTCATTGCGATTTTACATGCAACTGTTGCTATTTTACTGTTATCTTACACGCCATTCTTGCTATTTTATTGTTTATGTTGTGTGCTATATTGCTATTTTACTTTTTTTTAAGCGTATCATTGCTACTTTAATTTTAGTGATTTAATTTCTCTGCTGAGATGGGAAATTGTGTTTGCTTTTGCTCAAGTTGTATTAAAATGTACTCATTGAAAATGGCTGTATTCATGAAGCTAGGAAATGATTGTCTTGTGTACTGATAGCAAAGTGGCTGTGTTAAAGGGAGTGATCTGTATAAGATTTTATGTTCATTCTTGCTGACTGGTAGTTACTCTTGGGACAGGATCTTTTTTCTCATGGCTCTGAATCAAACCTGTCAAAAGTTTTTTTTAAAAAAAGAAAAAAATCTTCCTTCCTCTATGAGAGCAGTATAGCAGCCGCTGCTTTCATTTTGACAATAGTTTAGAGGGCAGCAAATTTCCACGGTTGTCATTCCAGATTAAATGCATTCTAAATATTTGATAGTGGTTGAGGGATGGGACAAGAGAATAGCATGTACAGATTCAGGCTTTTAAAGGGGATACCGTGCAGCTAAACATTGGCAGAGCACCTAGTTTGTGTAGCGAATCAGACAGGGCAGCTATTTAAAAGAAAAATGAAGTACAGGTGAATGAGAACTCCTTTTGAGTGGAATAACACGCCCCAGCAAATAGCAGAAGTGTGATCGTGCTTCACATTTGGCAGAAGCAATATAAGTTGAACATGAGAACGCATCCTGTTAATTTTCACTAATGAAGAAAGAAAGGGGTCAGTTTGGACCCTGTGCTAGGATTCGAGCAGAGCAATTGCCTGTTTGAAGCCTTTCGTGTGCTAGTTAAAGAGATCAGTGCTGAAGTAATCTTGTGAAAATTCTCCTATTATATTGCGGTATCATATCTCAAGGTACTACCTTCTGTGTTATTTCTTAAGTACTTCCCTGCTTGTTGCAAGAAAGACGGCTGATATCTCATCAGTCCCCAGTTGCCTTTGTGGAAATCCATGGACTGTGATTTTTTAAATGTTTTTCACGGAAGATAATTAATATGTGTAATTGTTTAGCACCACTCTGCTGGGTAATGCAGCCACATCTGGTAGAAAGGATTAGTATCCGCAAAACATCTGTTCCGTTCTGTCCTTCACCTTTAAATAACAGGAGACAATTGTTGCAAATTGCTTTTCATTGTTTTGTGATTTTCATACCCATTTATATCCAGTTTTGCCATTGAATGTTTTATTTGCTGTATGCATGACAGTGAAAGATGATGTCTTTGCCATCGCACACCAAAACCTGGTTTTATTTTTCCTCAGGTCCTCCCATGCCATCCTCCTCTTCATCCAGTCCATCAGCTGTTGAACAATCCAATTCCCCACTTCCATCACCCAATGTCAATGGCAACCAAAGGCGGATGCTTGGCAACAGTGCCACTCATCCGGGTCATGACTCTGACACTGATGATGAGGAGTACAATGCAAACTCATATCTAGCTCAGGCCAGTTCAGCCACAGTCTGTGTCCCCACCAATGGTAAGAAGTTGCCTGCTCTCTGAATTTCTCTGCCTCCTAGCACTTTCTAACTTTTGAGCAAATCTTCTATTCTGGGAGCGATTGTAAAGCGCTGGTCGACTTGATATTTTGCCTTGTAGCGTTTTACTAAACAGCTCCTCTCTGCACTTAGTCCTAACAAAAGGCTTCATTGCACGACAAGCCTCTTTCTCTGTCTGAGTGAACCACTGACATATATCTTGTTGTCACTTACCCATTAGAGCTCAGTCAAATACTAACCCCCATTTTGTTGAAGCACATTCAGATCTGAGTTCCAGGTCAGTCAGTCTCTTGGCTTGATATTTTAACTAAGAATTGCTGCTGTCAGATGCAGTAGACAAGGAAGCAGCAATTTTCCAGTACAAAAAATTCCAATAACATTTACTTCAGCTGGTGGAGAGGAGAGCACACGCAGGGATTGCTCAATTGGAGATTTGTGCTCAAGAATCGTTCTATTGGCAGCTTGCCAGCTATTGCATTTAAACAAGGTGCTTCAAAAAAATCAAGATGTTCTTAGATGAATATTGGCTTGCTGTTTGGGGAAACAAACCATTGTAGAATACTTTAATGTATCACCAGAGGACATATACGATCTGAATGGAGCACGTAATAATAACCCGCATTTGCTCATTTTCTCCTCTATCACATCTTGTTTTCTTCCCGCGATGGATGTAGTGATTGCATATTGTAGTGTCTGATTATCTCCCTTAACTACATTTTTGCTACTTAGATTTGTAAGATTGCGTTCATTTATTTTGTTAACAAAAAAAATGGAGATTGAATATTATATTAGGAGGCTTGTAGCTTCTCTTTGGTCACATTTTGCACTGTTTCGGTACAAGCTGAAACCAATGGTGAAAGTTGGCACTGTAATATAATACTATCATACATGGATGCATTTGAACTAGTTGCCATCAGATTGCAGGTACAGTATACTGCATACATTGTATTATATTTACTGTATATTATATGTACTGTACGCATTTTTACAATTTTTAGTTTTCATCTGCCACATTTTCACCATTGGTGGCTAGATGCATCTACAAAATCACAGTCAAGCCACTTTACAGTATACTCCGTGAAGCGCTTTGAGACGTCTCAATTAAGGTCTAAGGCACTATATCAAATGCAAGGATTACTATTATAATTATTATTCAACTGAGTACTCTAGTGAGATCTGCAATGCAGGATTTTCAAAGGATTCATAAATATTGAATGCTGCTGGTGAATGTGTTTCACACTAACCTGGCTGCATTCAATATTGCATTGAAGATGGTACGCTACTATTTCAAAGAAGAACTGGGAGTTCTTCTCATGTCCTGGCCAACATTATCTCTCTTTCGAATCCAGCACTACCAAACTTGAGACCAAAAGGGAACCCGCAGAAATGGTATCATGATATATGATACACACCGACTCCTTCAACTGCATGTATTTCTATCTTGGCAAGCAACCATTTGTGCAATGGGTCTATTTCAAATCTGGCTTCCTCGTAACTGCATCTATACTATTTCATTCAACCACCACATCAGACAGGATATTCCATAATCTCACTACCCTCTGCAAGAAATTCTCTTTTAGATCCCCAAGTCACTATTGTATACTTATCTTCCCTGCTTACCGACTCTCCCAACAAGTGGGAACAACCTATTTATATTAACCTTATTGATATTGTTTTTATGATTTTAAGCACCTCTATTGGGACCCTCTCTTAAACATCTTAAAAGAGTTTTATGGGATTTTTCAGCGAAGTGTAGCGACTGTATACTTTGTAAGCAAATGCAGCAGCCAGTTATCACACAGCAATGTCGCACAAACAGCCATGGTGAGAATGACAAGTTTTATCTGGGAGATTAGTAGCCTGAACACTGGAAGAAACTCCCTTCTTTTTTCATTTGGTGTAATGAGATCTTTAACGTCCACGTGAATAGGCAAATAAAAAAATTACTGGGGCAGGGAATCTTCCTGGTCATTCCTATTATGCCTACAAACTAAATGTAAGGTCACCCTTTCTTAACCAGCAGCAGGAAGCTTCCCAGACGGTGTTTTTTCTGGGGAAAAGGACAGAAGCAAAGAAAAATCATACAAACAGTTTTAAATCTATTGACATTTGAACAGTGGAGAGCAGTAGAAGTGAACTCCTATTCTGTTGCCCTCCACTTTCCTTTTTCTGTGATTAACAAACACCAAAAACGGCCCCAGGAAAAGTGCAAATCCCATATTACTGGTTACTGATCTCATCTTCTTATCAATACGTTTCTTTAAATATAACCTTCTTTGTGTAAACAGTGCTCTGTCACACAGAGAATATAAATTTTGGAGTTCTGCAGCTTGAAGAACATCTTTGCCTCTATTAGCCTCCACTTCTTCCCCCTGGATTCTATTACTCAAATACAGTCCATTGCTGTGTTTTGCACTATGTGATTCAATGCTTAGAAAGGATGTGTTGCTCTCACAGCAAGATAAATGTCGAGGCAGCCATTCTTCATGCTGTGGTGGCCAAGCTTTTGAACCCCTCACTTCTCACTCCAATTCCATAAAATACAATGAAGGGATTTGCTTCCGTTGACTTGTATCAATCATACTGTCCCATTGAGTAAGGCAGCAAGCCTCAGGGGAAAAGAAACATCAGTTGCGATTTTGATACAAGCTTGTACTTTCACCTTCATCTTCATAACTTTAAATGTATTCACTCTTGTGTAATTGTGCATCCGTTAATGTAACAACTGCCCAGTTTTAAAGAAGGGCAGTCTCTACAGCAAATTGTAGAACATTGTCTATAGCACACATCGCATGAATTTAGTATAGGTTTTGGCTATGAGTGACCTTGAGGACCTTTATTCATACAATCTGTACCATTAGACGCCTATTATAGTCAGATAATTTTTTTTTAGATGTGTTAATAGCCTATTCATCCAAGGTGAGAATTAGATGAGATGTCCTCAAACTTCAATCATACAGATTGTCATTTTCTAAATGAGGTGTCTAACTGTCAGCTCCCAAATAGCAATTCCTTCCCTTTTTTTAAAAAAAGTCATGTTTTACAGCTTTCTCTACGTCAGCTGAACAACGTGTTGAACCTCAGGGGGATGGAAATATCCATCTCTATTTGCAGATAGCTTCTGTTCGGGAGGTGAGATTGAGTGGTTTGCAATGACTTGCCCATGGGGAAATGAATGGTGTCCGCTTACCTTCCCCTGATGGCACATTTCGGTATTGGGAGCTCAAAGTGTAGGAAATTGAGGGCTCAAATCCATTTCAAGTGATTCCATATAATAACACTTTGAAGCACCAACATACTGTATCACTCACTTGTTTTTTTCTCATTCTCTTCTCTGTCTCTTCCTCTCATTTCACATCTTTTTTTTGCTAGCCCTTCGAATGAGACGTTAAACCGAGATCCCTTCCGCCTGTTCAGGTGAATGTTAAAGATCCCAAGGTGCTAATCATAAAGAAAAGAGAGCTTTCTCCTGTTATCCCAGCCAACAATCCTCCAAATGAAAAAGTAGTCATTAACTTCCAAGCTGTTTATGGCATATAGCTGCACAAATTGGCTCCTGGCAAATGCATAGTCACAACACTTTAGAGGAACCTCTGATAAGTGTTTTGAGATGTTTTGATGTGATAAAGAGCTATAATAAATGCAAGGATTATTAAACAGCTGGTTGTATGATGAGCTCTTTTAAAAACGACAATTAAAAATGGTTCATTGAATGCTCCCAAGCAATCATTTGGATCACGAGGGAGAGAGGCCAGTGTAATTCTTACCCGCTGAGTTTATGTTGTATGGGACAAATCACACTGCTTCTGAAACCCCCTTCAGTCATGTCGGAAATGAGACTCCAGCACAGTTTGCTGAATTAACCCACATTAATCCTGTATATTTGGGGGTGGGGGTGGCGAAACGCTGCTAAGATTGCAGTGATTTACTGCCAAACATGCGGAGCTCTTATACTTGAGGGAAAAGAAAAGAAGTGTGTAGAGCAGTGTGCCTTTTTTAAGTGTGAAATGAATGGTACAGGTTATCCTTTCTGGGGGCTGGCATGCAGTGTTTGTGCAGCTAACTTCAGCAGGGACCCTATGAATGTTCATTGATAGCCAGCTGGTGCAATAAATGCACTGCAGCCTGATCACATCCTTAACTCTATATGAAGGTAGGTTTGAAGAGTTTTAGTATTTATTTAACAGTTAGAAATGAAGACAGCGGGTTCTATTTAAAAATTAATTGTTGTAGACCCTATATTCTGAGAATAGTGTAGGTTCTTTGCTGTATCAAAATGATAATCAATGGATTTGTCATCTGTTTGATTTCTTCTGAGAAAAATCTCCTAAAGGGTGGCTTTTAAAATTCATACACATCTTCCCACATTAAGTGCCTGGTCACCTTTCATTTAGAAGTAACCTTTCAAGTTTTATTTTGCCCACAAAAGCACGTAGTCACTGCACCATATATCCTGTGAAGCACTTTGGCCTATCATCCTAATGTGAAAGGCACTATACCAGATGTAAGGATGATTATTATTAATATTACTACACTCGCAGTGTTGTGTTCAATAGTAAATTGTGGAGAGTACCTGGAGTGGCTTAGTGTATTGTAATCCAGGGTATGGCTGCTGGAGTATATAAACGCACTTTGTGACCTATCTGAATCTAGCCCAAATTACAGTGAAAGTCTCCACTGTATACTTGCTGTGAGGATCCAAAATGAAATGTTTGGTCTCAGCTCAGTTCCAGTGACAGTAAATTTACATTATAAAAACTTCTTATATTTTGACACAAAGTAACACTAAATTGTTACAGTTACTCAGATTACAATAAAACACGCTTAAATCTGATCTGTATAAATTGTATAATCGCCTAATTCGTACATCTGCCCAAGTCCCATTGAATTTCCTATTATTTATAAATTCCACATAACTCATATTTCGCATAAATCATATTAAATGTATGGTCCCAACTGATACAATTTATGTGAGATTTCC